AAAAATTTAAAAAAATAAAAAATTTTAAAAAAGGCAAATTGCTAAAAGTCTTTAATAAAATGCTAAAAATGATAATATTTTAAAAGTTGTTTTTGGATCCTCTTAGCAGCATAGGAAGGAAATATTAATTAGCCTCTGCCAGATGGAGGAACTGAGACTCAGAAAGGCCAAGTAACATGCCCAAAGTGAGGAAAAATGCTCCCCTGGTGGTGTTGTAGTCCCTTAACCCCCCGGCAGCAGGGAGCACCCATCCAGGACACTGAAGGGGAGGTACCAGCAGATACCATCAGAGGGAAGAATAGGGGGTTGGTTTCTGGGAAGACAGAAATAAATGGCTCCTCCCACCATGCAGAGAGTGAGTGCTCACAGCCCCCAACAAGCCCACCAGCAAAAGACAAAGTCGTGAAAAAAGGAAGTGATAAGGGGAGGCTAAGAAAGAAGAAAAGTAAGGAGTTGCAGTCAGGACAGCAAAGCCTTAATAGTAACCTTCATTTATTCACTCATTCAAAAAACATTTATTTATTTTTTTTTTTAAAGATTTTATTTATTTATTTGACAGAGAGAGAGAGATAGTGAGAGCAGGAACACAAGCAGGGGGAGTGGGAGAGGGAGAAGCAGGCTTCCCGCTGAGCAGGGAGCCCAATGTGGGACTCGATCCCAGGACCCTGAGATCATGACCTGAGCCGAAGGCAGATGCTTAACGACTGAGCCACCCCGGCGCCCCAAAAAACATTTATTAAAGACCTCTTATGTGAGACCCCAAGGGTCACAGGGAATTCACTATGGGCAAGACAGACTCCATCCCTGGCCTCAAGGGAACATGCTGCTAGAAAGGGGTTTAAGTCCCTGTATACTGACAAGAAGAAAGGAGGGGACAGAAAGGGTACTGAAAAGGGAGAAGAATCAAGACAGGCAAGCCTGAGGCACTGGCCTAAACCTCCCTGGCTAAGGTCTAGTATCAACTCCCTAGTGACAGGCTGAGAACATTATATATAGCTCATCTGGTTTCTCTCTTTGCTTTGGCTACCAGGGAGCTCAGCATGCAGTTCAGCACTCAGCTGTAGCCATCATCCCTGGATTCCCTTGCTTCCCGTCAACGGTGTTGAGTTTTCACAGTCCTTTACTTTTTCCAGTATATAATAAAAACCCTTGTGAAAGTCTGCAGTTTAAATAAATAAATAAAAATAAAAAGGACTTTGCCCCATGAGAAAAGTTGAGGGCCAAGCTAGACTACTCCCTGCAAAGAGCAATGTTTAGTGCCCCCTGGCATATCAGCGAGATAGCATCCAGTCATTCCTGAGCCCATCATTTTTGCACCTCGTTAGAACCGAAGAGGATGTTTACTGAGTCCAAAAACTCCAGTGAGGACACACCTTACTGATTATTCACAACAGATTTGCCGGGCGGGGAAACACTATCGCAAATGTGGCCTCCCTGCCCCTCTCCAATCCACTTAAGAGAGAAGCCACAAAATCGAGACCCAGATGGGGCGGTCAGTAATAACAATGATGGTGACAGTAAGACTGGCCGTGTGTTGGCCTCGCCCAGCTATCTGACAGCATCTCTAGCCGGCTTCCCACTGCCCTGATACGCCAGACTCATTCCCATCTCAGGCTCTGGCCCTTGCCCTGCTCCCAGTCTTTCTCATCATGCAGGCCTCAGGTCGAAGGTTACCTCCCTGCTGATACACTCTAAAGCTGCCCATCCCAGTCATTTTGGATCACGTTACCTTCTTCTCTTTTCTTTTCCTAGCATTTTCCATCTAAAATTACTTTATTTAAAGTAGTGGCCTAGGGCGCCTGGGTGGCTCAGTTGGTTAAGCGACTGCCTTCGGCTCAGGTCATGATCCTGGAGTCCCGGGATCGAGTCCC